CACAGTGACCACATTTGTGCCCTGCAGGCTTCAGGTCAGGACTTACTGACTGGAGCTGCAGTCTTCAGCTGATGGGCCGGAGAGGGAGAAGCACCCAGACACAAAGGAACCCATTGGCCCTGGGTATCTGTAAGTCTCTAATTATCCTTTCTAATTTTGGAGCCACGTGACTGGATTCCACACAGCACCACTGAACCCGCTAGCTAGCCTGAGTGCTCTGCAGCTGGACCACAAAGGGAGGGGATGCTACTCTTTGCTCCTTCATTAAACTATTGTGTTACATTCACAGGGTGCGCTATTTCCGCATTGGCATGCAGCTCTCTGGTCAACATCAGTGTTCAGAGCATCTGAGAGAATTAACTATTCCTGCCAAATTGACTCCAGGATCTTAAGAGGTGTTTTCAGCTTATAATGAGCGATCTATTTGATACTGCAAAGGTACATAACCCTTTAAAAGACAGAGTCAGCACACATACTCTCTACAAACGTCCTTTCCAACCCTATTCTAGAATATTACAGATTTGAAGTATTTTCTTCTTTGACTTAAGTGGAGCTCAGTCCCGCTCTGGCCACAAAGCCTGGCTAAATCCAGGCCTGGGGGTGTTCCTGAGAGGGAACTAAGGTGTGTTGAAGTGCCACAGGTCCTCGTCACCCTCCCCAACCACTCCACCTTTCTTACAGGAAGCAACACAATTGAGAACAGTGTCATCCTGTGTTCAAAAGAAATCACTGTCAGATACCGCCACTGAAATAATCTTTAATGATGTAAAAGCATATACTGATATAGAAAAGTATTTAAAAATATACCTAGGCAATGTCAAGCAAAAATATTTTTGTTTTGAGATCAAAAGTAAATGGTCTCTGGAGCCTGACTGCCTGGGTTCAAATACTGGGTGTGGCACTTACCATTTGTGTGACTTTGAGCAAGTTACTCAACTGCTCTGAGCCTCAGTTTCCTTACCTGGAAAATCAGAACATTAATGTTCCTTTCTCTTAGCTTATTATGCGAATTAAGCACCATGTCTTTACTAAAGAAAGAAAACCTATGGAATACATATGATGCATAGGACATAAGATGGTGTTTAGAGACAACCTAAAATGATCTTATAATACTGTCTAACACTTTATACATCAAAAGCAGTAACTCAATAGGAATGGGCTTAATTTTCTTGGTTCAAGTCCAGCTAGAATCAAAGCAGCATTATCAGCGCAGATTAGTCTTATCATTCCCTTTCCTTTGTGCTTTCCTCAGAGTTCACTTTATCCGACACAGTCAGACCCCCCAGTCCACTGCCAAGGAAACAGGAGAGACCAGTGAGTAGAGGTGGAATGCTAAGCACGTGCACTTGTTTTATTTATCACTTTTGCTGTGTTGCTTTATCACAACATTTATTAATAAATGAATTTTTTTCTCCTTGAAGCCTAACACTTTGGCCTTGAGTGCCTAACAGAAGGGAGTCAATCGGGGTGACAGTTGTGCAGTCAGCGTCCTAGTCTGGACTTCCTTAACAGACTCAGTACCTCAGTATCTACTCCTTACCTCTGCAGAGGGATGTTTCAATGCAGAAGAAATTTTTAAAAGCCTGATCATTGATTACATTAAAAGATTTATGGAGACAGGTTTATTAACAATTTGGGAATTTTTTCTCTTTTTTTTAACATCTTTACTGGAGTATAATTGCTTTACAGTGGTGTGTTAGTTGCTGCTTTATATAACAAAGTGAATCAGCTATACGTATAAATATATCCCCATATCTCTTCCCTCTTACATCTCCCTCCCGCCCTCCCTATCCCACCCCTCTAGGTGGTCACAAAGCACAGAGCTGATCTCCCTGTGCTATGCAGCTGCTTCCCACTAGCTATCTGTTTTACATTTGGTAGTGTATATATGTCCACGCCACTCACACTTCGCCCCAGCTTACCCTTCCCCCTCCCCCTGTCCTCAAGCCCATTCTCTACGTCTGCATCTTTATTCCTCTCCTGCCCCTAGGTTCTTCAAAACCATTTTTTTTTTTTTTAGATAACAATTTGGAAATTTTTTTCTAAAACTGAACACATACACCATCACCAACCACCAGCTCTACAATTACCAACTCAGACTTACGGCTCCATGAATATATGGCATGAGAGGAATTAGATCAAAAGAAAGAATACAAATATGAAACCAGGCAGCCTAGAACAGTCAATGTACCTGGTCTAGGAGTCACGCAATTTGAATTCTGGTGCAAGATCTGTCACCAGGTAATTCTGTCCCACCCAACAGGGACTCAGATTCTTTACTGTGAAACAGGGTTATCTAAGACCCCCTTTAAGCTGGAAAATACCATTATTCTTCAACCCACGATTCCTCTGGTGCTACAACTTCTCCAAAGCACTAAGAAGGCAGAGAAGGTAGAGAAAAATATGAAAATTATTCCCGATTCCCTAAAATTTCTTAGAATGATTGAGCCCATCCTAATTTTTAACCGTGAATCACCAAACAAAAAACCTCCTCCACCTGTAACTGCTTATTATCTTATGCCAAGTCCAAGAACACAAATGGCGTGCCCTTGCCAAGCTGGTCTGTCCACATCACTAGCAGTGCTCAAGGAAGGGTGAATGACCACTGGTCAGGAATCATGTGGACAGTGCCAGAGCCCATCTCTAACATGCTTCTCATTCAGTACTGGAATTCGGTCTCATGGCTGGGCAAGATCTCATGGTTTGACAATGCAGGTAACACAGCTGAAACCTTATCTCAAGTTGGCCTGAAGTATATACCACTGTCCACATCTGAGATGCTAAAATACTATAACCTACCCCAATACTCTCTCTTAACTACCCAGCTCTGCCCTACTAATGACTGGCACTCACACTGGCCCCAATGATGGCTGCTTCCTATTCTGAGTGTGCAAACTGCACCTTTGATAAACCTTTCACCTTCCTGTTCTGACTTGCTGATGTTTACTTCTTGTCTTTACTTACTTACCCTCCCTGTGGCTTCTGCAGCAAAGCCTCTCAGCCAAAAACACCTCAGGTCCCCAACAACTTCAACTCACTCCAGAAAGTTGGATTGGAATTTCAATGAAATTATCTGCATTTTACCACAACTTACAGTTACCCGAGATGATGGTGAAACTAAACGACTAAAGTAGCACCATCCACCCAGGGACACCCCCTCTCAAGGATGTCCCCTCAGAGACACCTCTCTCTCTGGCCCCTTCTAGAAACACCCCCTTCTCAGAGATGCCCCCCTTCCCTCAGGGATACCACCTCTTAGAGATCAGGTATAAATGCGGGTTTATCAGCCAGTTCTGATTCACACATTTGCTCCAGCTTCTACGTGGTACCAGGTACTGTGCTAGGTGCTTTAATCTATATTAACTCTTTAAATCACATGGCCACACAGCATACTAAGTATCATTAACCCTACTATGCAAATAAACAAAGGGGGTTTCAGAAAGAATAAGTGGCTTGTCCAAGAAATTCAGACCAAGGTCTTCTGCTTCTGAGAGTTGTGTGACCCAAGAAGACAACCAACATCCATGGTCTATTTCACATGGAAATGCATAGCTGCAACGTTACCATGTGCCAGTCTTGAATGTGCTCAGCCAATGAACTATAAACCTATAAACTGCTTATAGGAAACACTTAACATAGAACAGACTGATCATAAAAACAGGCTCATTAGAAATCTGTAATATGGGGACTTCCCTGGTGGCGCAGTGGTTAAGAATCTGCCTGCCAATGCAGGGGACATGCGTTCGAGCCCTGGTCTGGGAAAATCCCACATGCCGCGGAGCAACTAAGCCCGTGCACCACAACCACTGAGCCCGCGGCTCTAGAGCCTGCGAGCCACAACTACTGAGCCCACATGCCACAACTACTGAGCCCACGCGCCTAGAGCCCATGCTCCGCAACAGGGGAGGCCACCTCAATGAGAAGAACGTGCACCACAAAGAAGAGTAGCCCCTGCTCGCCGCAACTAGAGAAAACCCGCACGCAGCAACAAAGACCTGACGCAGCCAAAAATAAATAAATAAATTTATATATTAAAAAAAAATTCTGTAATATGTATACTGACTTTAAAAAAAAAAAAAAACTGACGTTTTTTCATACAACTTTAAAATAGTTTATCCCCATTTAACCTCCCCTGCACCTCCCCAAACATGTGAATTGACACATTTTAATTCAGGAAAAATATATTAAAACTAAATTCATAAAATGATTAAGAAGTTTAGCATTCTCTTCCCACTTATGGAGATGCTGAAGGACAGGTAAATGACCCTAGAATGATGAATGACAAGAGATGAAATGCTGGATAATCCATAAAGAGACAGGGAATCACTAAATGACAGGTACAGCACATAAAACCTACATAATTTGTGATTCTGTGTTCTAGGGAGAGTTAAATCCTAAAGTAGAGAGAGAAAATAAGTATTTATGGCGTTGACCAAGGAATCAGCTCTACCAAGCACCCATATAATTAGATCCTCCCCCACCATCTCAGGAACATGAAGACTTCCCAGCAGAATGGGACCTCACAGGGCAAAAGGCCAAGAGAGATTATAGTGACCATCTAATCCAACACCCTCTACTTACAATCAAGGAGTCTCTGGCCTAATCAAACAACCTGCCCCAAGTAATCAACCAATGCCAGTGGCAGAATGAAAGCCAAGATCTCCCAGTGTCCCTTTCCCAGCACCAGGCCACTGCTACCAAAGCTGCATCATGGGACCTAATACATACTCATTACCCACAAGTATTTGTTCAGGATCCAATTTACATATGGTAATACAAGAAATACTGCCAAATAGAATGTCCACAGGTTGCCAATTTGGCAAACCACTAAATTGTACTCTACCTGCCCCCAAAACCCAAATTACTTTTCACTCACATCATTCACTTATATCCACAGAAACCAGCCAAATGCTTTTCAAATATGTTCCACACTCAGATTTCCAAAAAAAAAAACTGCTACAAAAACCACCAGCACAAAATTAAGAGAATGGGACCAGTACCTTCCCCAGAAAGCAATCTCTGGGGTGCCTTTCGTGTAGGTGGAGTTACTGGAGCCACTCAGCCCATTGGTGATCCCACCAGAATAGCCCATCACTATTCCACCATCTGCAGAGATGCTCAGGACGTCCTGCTGTCCTCCCATTGATGTCCTCTCCAGGAACTGACCACCTTCTTTAATGCGCTGTTGTATCATTGGAGTGAGGGGCACTTCAAAGCTAAAATAGCTATCAGGCTCTGAATATAAAGTCTCCAAGGACTCAGCACTGTAGTATAAAGAAGTGTTGTCCAAAATGGTTTCAAACTGGGAGCTGTACACATCAGTGGAGTCCTCTGCACAACCAGACCCAAGGATATCATCATCTCTGGCCCGAAAGTGCTCCTCTTGCTCAAGAATCCTGGAAAGCACATAAAACGGACGAATTTCAATATCAGGTTATTTTTTCCCCTCCAACCATATAAAAAAGGGAACATTCTATAGAGCTAACACTTGTATTCAGTGGGCTTATGTCAATACATTTGGGAAGGAAGATTTCATAGAAACATATTCAGGCTGAAAGAACTCTTTAGCATACATATGCTATGCTACCCTCTACATAATTTAATATAGTTTTGAACTATTTCCTAATATGTGAATCAGGTCCAAAGAATATTTCAATAAAATGTTAAAATAATGAATTTTCATCTAGCCAACTAAACTCCACAAATCCAAATTAACAGCTACTATCATTCTTAATTTTAACAGAAAGAGGTCATTAACAGGTAAATGACCTGTTAGAAGATAAATATATTGTGTAAACTTAATGGACTAAAAATACACTAAACTTTCATCAGTCTGTTAATATTTTCTGATTTAAATAAGACCAAATGCCCTCAAGAAGATAAATATTCTATAATCCAAGGGCTGTCCCCTGGTGACAATAAGACAGCACTGCAGAGAGAGTTCAGGTCCAGAAACAGCCAGCCAGTAAACGACCTTTTAAAAGAAAAAATAAATAAATAAGAGCCAACAAACGTGTTTACTACAGGGCTAACCAAAACAGTGACAACCTACAAAAAACGTACAAGTTAATATACCTGGGGCGTTAATTAATTAATATGCAGCATGTTCTTCAAATATTAAAAATGAACATTAGAATAACTAAATAAAATTTTAAAACTCAGTAAGAGAAAGAAGACAAGAGACAGAAAAACATGGAGCTGAATCTGGATGTGCCAATTACTAGCTCAGCCTCAGGAACAAAACAGAAATAGGAATAAAACTACCTGGTAGGTAACCCACATTTCTAGGTATTACCAGGATTCACATTCAACAGTACAGTTGTCTCTGCTGTTTTTAAATTACTGAAGGTCTACCCCACACCAAGTACTATTCTGGGTTCTACCTCTAAATGGCTCCTCAGGGCACTTGCAGTGAAACAGGAAGCTCAGGATGAGGCCCCTCCCTACCTCTGCTCACCTACTTCCCACCCTCCCCCAGCCCCCAGGCTCCAGCCACACGGGGAGAAGGGCAGACGGAGGGTCACATCTTAAAAGGCACCTGGAGGCTTCTGCTTCGCAGTGTCCAGGAAGCATGCTCCATTAGCGACAAGCAGTCCTCCTTTGCCCAGGTGGTTCCCTCTGCCTGGAATATCCTCCTCCCCATTCTCTGCTGGGCAAACACCTATTCATTCCTGAAGTCTCAGCGTAACTATCACTTCCACAGAAAGGCCTTCCCCAAGCCATCAACCGAATCAGCCTCTCTCCTGCATTCAGACTATTCTTTCTAGGGACCTCCCTGGCGGTCCAGTGGTTGGGACTTCGCGTTCCAATGCCGGGGTGAGGGTCTGAACCCTGGCTGGGCAGCTGGGATCCCACGTGCCTCGCCTCGGGGCCAAAGGGCCAAAAGGTGAAGCAGAAGCAATACTGTAACAAATTCAATAAAGACATTAAAAATGGTCCACGTCAAAAAAAACTTTAAAACAAAACAAAACTATTCTTTCTAGTATGTCTCCCTTCTTCTCCTTTACGGAACCCAGCACAATTAGAGGTCCCAGCATTATTAATGTGTTGATCTTCAGAAGTAAATTCCATGAGGTCAGTGACCTCAGGCCATGTCTATTTTCCACTGTTTTTTTTTTTTTTTGCCCTCACCGCACAGCTTGCATGATCTTAGTTTCCCAACCAAGAATGGAACCCATGCCCCCTGCAGCGGAAGCACAGAGTCCTAACCACTGGACCGCCAGGGAATTCCCAGGGCCATGTCTATTTTGAACATTCCTTTATGCCCAGCATCTCTAGCCGTATCAAGGACAGAGCAGACAACTGAAAACCATTTGTGAAAGGACAGGAAGGGAAGGAGGGCGGGAGGAAAGGAGGAATGAATTAATAATCTGCACAGGCACAGAAGTGCATACCCCAGTGGGAATATAATTACCGAGCCATGTGCCACATATCAGGGCTCCTTTTGAGGGGAGTCTGGAGATTTTCTGTGTAGGGGGGATGGGGACGGGAGGGAGAGGAGTCCTGACAGCCATCCTAAAGGAGCATCTCTTCGTGGATCTGTTAGTTAACTGTGGAGAAAACGGCATCTCCTTACACCAAACAAACAAAACCCTTCAGGCATGACACAGATGTTTTCCCATGTGAACTACCACAGGTGGAGGACTGACAAGACGGCACACATTTGAAATGACTTTGCCAAGAGGAACACTCTACAGTCAGACTACAAGCAAAGGAAGTGAAGACAGACGGCTATGGCTTCCATTTTTCCAGTCTCACAGCTGGTATGGATGCCAGAAATGTAGGGAGAGACCAGGAAATACCATATGATGCCAAGTTTACTCATCAGGGCTGTAATCAAAACATGCTGCTTGTGAGAAGGGAGACCCATGTGAGTGTCATGGAAGAACTGAATTCTGACCTCCTGATCTCTTTCAATCTAGAAAACTGAGCCAGCCTCTGTGTTCCTACATGTATAAGGCTGTATGCAGGCAACGGTGCTGCACCCAGAAGAAATGCCTGAGTTAGGATGTAATGACTACAGGATGTCAAAAAGAGTTCAAACCTTTCCACATTGTTAAAGATAATCGTGGGGTATTTAGTTACCTTGATGTTGGAGAAGTTGCAACCTGTCAAATACAATAAAACATCAGAAATGGAGTCACCTAGTTTAGAGTTCACAGTCTCCCCATATGGACAACTTTATAACAAGACCACTTTAACATCTCGGAACCTTAGAAGCAACATAGCTTACAGTCACTTCTCTTCCATTCTGTGGTAAACAAGGACCCAGGATATTGTGAATCGAGTTCTCACTGGCATCACAGACAGCAGGATACTATGCGAGCTCACCTTTCCCTGTCTCTCTCCAATTCAGGTTTCGTCTCAAGATGTTCCTTGTTTTCCCTTAGGAAGACTTCATCCTCTCCACTCTCATGAAGAGGCTCAGGCAGAAATGGCCCTGAGCCAGTGGCCAGCCTCTCTGAAGGAGCTCTCCAGGTGTCATCCCAAACACTCTCAGTTAAACCAGCTGAATCACACAAACCAGCAGATGAGATGAGATGGCCTGGCACTTTAGAAAACTCTTTGCTTTCAGGAGGGGTTGTCCTTTCCAATGATGTCTGAAAATCCACAGGTTGCCATGTCCCTCTTTTCTCCCCTCCTGTCCACAATATTTCCACCCCTTGAAATTCCACATGTTTGACCTGGCCTGGGCGTCCTGAGGAGCTGCCTCGACCACATTGCTCTGGGTGCTCTCTCCCCTGATCAGATCTCCTCTCTCTCAATAAACCAGCACTTCCCACTGAGCTGTGGGTCACGGGGCTCCCCACGGAGGATGCTGGACAAGCTGGCTCCTGCACATGGACAGCCCCCTTTGTCCCATTATTAGCTCTTAGGGAAAGCTCTGCTTGAGTTTCTCCAGTTAATAGTGCAGTCAGGTCCTCCTGGATGCTCAAATAAAAACCTTCCTCAGTCGTAACTTCAGCTGAAAGAGGTATATCGGGTGACTTTTCTCGGCCAGCAGGGAACAGTGTGTTGGCTCTCTGTGTTTTATGACTGGCAGGGTCTGGCTCTTGTTCCACCTGCTGAACTAAAAAAGTAGAAACCGCATCTCCATCCAGTACCTTTGTAGCCTGCAATGTTCCTGAAACTATTCTGGCTTCTGTGGCTTTCAGAGCTGAAATCAAAGAGTCAATGGGTTGTAAACTCTGTTCCTTGAGATGACTCTGAGAGGGGACCTCTCTGACATCTTTTGGTCCTCCGGTAACGCTGAGAAGCCCAGAGGGATGGCCAGCAAGAGACTGGACCCTCTGCTGCACCTGAGGGCAGCACGGCAGAGACTCGGCATCAAACTCGAGAGAGGCTCTTAGGCCTTCTCCACTTTCCTCCATGGTCCCATATTCTGGAAATTCATTTGTGACATTCGGGGGGAGTAAAGTGCTTCCTCCATGATCACCTACAAAGAGAACAGAATGGACACATGACTTGTTCTGAACAACAGATTCCAACGTGTGTTAATAAATCTCCATACGCATCAGGCATTCAGTCATCCTTATGGGATCCTTTCACTGTCTCCTGCCCCCACCTCTGCAACACTTGCTTCTCATAACCCTGCCGGTGGTCCCTTCCACTTAGCTTACACGAGAGTACCCACAAAGGTTTTGGCACAGACAGAGACGATCTAATGACACACGCCCTATTCAACCCTGCTTCTGATGAAGTCCCACACACGCACCTCGGTTGCTGCATACGCAAGAACAGATGAAAATAAGGATATGTATCATTTTCCAAATACCACTCATGAAATAGCAACTAAAGTATTTATATTGGGCACAACAACAAATAGTCTTACGATCCAGCCAACAATACCTGTGCAGTGCAATCTCTGAGATGGAAGCCTCAGAAAAAAGATATGATCTATTTAAAGTCAGTAAATATTTTTTTGGCTGGAAGCTTCCCCTTCACTGTTGGATTTCTGTTGTGGGGGGGAATGCTTTCAGAACATCCCTGGGGAATGAGACTGAAGTCAAAATGGAATAGGAAACTTAGTATGTTAAGAAAGATCTCTGGGATCCCAAATGAATAAAATTTAAATGGTATCATATGCAGAACCCCAATATATGAAGCAGTAAAAACAATTAGCATATATTTACTATGTAGGATCAAATTTACATCCTTTTCTTATTAAAACGGCAGTCAATGAGAAAAATGAAGACACTCTGATAACAGAATTTTAAATTGAGGATTTATGGATAACAGTTACAGTCCTATCACCCCAGGATCCAATTTCCTTCTGAACTTGGTTTTGGTTACTTTGTATCGAGAATATCCTCATCTACCCTGGAAATGTAGGGTCCTCACTTGGACAACTTTATGACAGAGGACACCTGTTGTTTTTGTTATTGCTTTTAAAGCATTGCCAGCTACCACCTTCCTATTCAGTGAAATGTTTGATGACTGTCTGAATATATACAATGAAATGACATGAAAGACTTGATTCCAAGGCATGTACAAAATGAGGTAACTTGGAAACATAAGTTAATGTATAGTATCCCACAGTGTGGAAAATCTGATAAATAATAATACATCTAAGAGTGTATTCAGTTTCATATTTCATTTTTGAAATAATTTGAAATACATTTTTTAAATTAAATTCGAATCAGTATTGATGGAATCCAAGAAGCACTTCTCTGTGATTGTAGTATTGATAGTACCTTCACAAGACAGAAGTAAGAGGATGCGGCTTGCTTGAAATCTGAGGAGGAAGCAACTTTCAAACCCTGATTTTGAAAAGGAAGACAGTTAAAAGCAATAAAGATTCCTCTTCCTGTGGCACACTGACATTTTAAATTTTTCAATAAAGACTGTGATAGGACTTTTAAGATTCAGTTGTCTTTAATATATTCACAAAATTGTGTGACCATCACCGCAACCTAATTCCAGAACATTTTCATCACCTCCTACCACCACCATAAAACCTATATCCAATCCATTAGCCACCATTCCTCAGCCCCTGGTAACTACCAACCTACCTTCTGTCTCTATGGATTCACGTGTTCTACTTCATATCAACGGAATCACACAATATGTGGCATTTTTGGTCTTTTTTTCCACCTAGCACAATGCTTTCAAGGTTTATCCACACTGTACCATGTACCAGAACTTCTTTTCTTTTTATTGACAAATAATATTCCATTGTATGGATATACCACAGTTTCTTTCCATTCATCTGCTGATGGACATTTGTGTTATTTCCACATTTTAGCTATTATAAATAATGAACATTTGTGTACAAGTTTTTGTGTCTACATTTATTTTCAGTTCTCTTGGGTATATATCTATGAGTGGATTCTGGGTCACATGGTAACTCTCTCTCTTTAATGTTTGGAGAAACTGCCAGTTTTCCAAAGCAACTACACCATTTTACATTCCTACCAGCAAAGTCTGAGGGTTCTAGTACTGCCCATATTTTTTATTATAGCTGTCTTAGTAGATGTGAAGTGCTATCTCACTGTAGTTCTGATTTTGCTCAATATCATTAATCACTGTGGTAGTGATTAATGATATTGAGCATCTTGTCACATGCTTGTTGGCCATTTGTATGTCTTCTTCAGAGACATATCCATTCAAATCCTTTGCCCATTTTATAATTGGGTTACTTGTCTTTTTATTATTGAGTTGTAAGAGTCCTTTGTATATTCTGGACAGAAGTTCCTTATCATATATATACTTTGCAAACATTTTCTCCCATTCTGTGGGTTGTCTCTTCCCTTAGTTGATGGTGTTTTGTTTTCTTGTTTTTTTGTTTTGCGGTACGCGGGCCTCTCACTGTTGTGGCCTCTCCCATTGCGGAGCACAGGCTCTGGACGCGCAGGCCAAGCGGCCATGGCTCACGGGCCTAGCCGCTCCGCGGCATGTGTGATCTTCCCGGACAGGGGCACGAACCCGTGTCCCCTGCATCAGCAGGCGGACTCTCAACCACTGCGCCACCAGGGAAGCCCGATGGTGTTTATTTTGAAGCACAATTTTTAAAAATTTTAATAAAATCCAACATCTATTTTTTTATTTTGTTGCTTGTGTCTTTGGTGTCATATGCAACAAATTATTGTCTAATCCAAGGTCACAAAGATTTATTCCTTTTTTTTTTAGGAGTTTTACAGTGTTAGCTATTACATGTAGACCTTTGATCCATTTTGAATTAACTCTTGTATATGGGGTAAAGTGGAGCTCCAACGTCATTCTGTTACATGTGGATATCCACTGTCCCAGCACTACTGTTGAAAAAAACTATTTCCCCCACTGAACTGCATTAATACCTTCATAGAAAATCAACTGACCATAAACGTAAAGGTTTATGCCTGTACTCTAAATTCTATTCCTTTGAGCTAGTAGCAAGTATAACACCATCTTGATTACTGTAGCTTTGCAGAAGTAAAATCAGGAAGTGTGAGTCCTCCTACTTTGTCCTTCCTTTTCCAGGTTGTTTTGGCTACTCTGGGACCCTGGCATTTTCCATATGAATTTTAGGATCAGCTTGCCAGACACCCGAAATGTTCATAGAGGCTGGGATGAATCTGTAGAGCACTGCATCCTAACAATAGTACTATTAAGTCTTTTGATCCATGACTATAGGATGTCTTTCCATTTATTTAATTTTCTTTAATTTCTTTTAACATGTTTTTGTTTTAAATGTACAAGTTTTACATTACTTTTGTTAAACTTACTCCCCTAAGTATTTTCTTTTTGATACTATAATATGCAGAAATTTTTTCATTTTCAGATTATTCACTGCTAGCATATAGAAATACAACTGGTTGCCGAACTTACTATTTAGTACTAATAGCTTTTTTGTGGATTCCTTAGGATTTCCTATATATAAGATCATGTTGTCTGTGAACAGAGATAATTTTACTTTTTTTCTTTCTTATCTGGATGTCTTTTATTTCTTTTTCTTGCCTAACTGCACTTGCCAGACCCTTAGTACAATGTTGACTGGAAGTGGTAAGAGCTAGACATCCTTGTCTTGTTCTGGATCTTAAGAGAAAGCTTTCAGTCTTTTACCATTAAGTATGATATTAGCTGTGGGTTTTTCACAAACGCGCTATATATCAGCGTAAGGAAGATCCCTTCTACTCCCAGTTTGTCAAGTGTTTCTATCATGAAAGGGTGCCAAGTTTTGTCAAATGTTTTTTCTCTGTCAATTGAGATTTCCATGTGGGTTTTGCCTTTTAATCTAGTAAGAGTGAATTACATTAACTGACCTTTATATACTGAACCAACCTTGCATTCCTGGAATAAATACCACTTGGTCATGGTGCATAATCCTTTTTTAAAAGTTGCTAGATTCAGCTTTTTAGTATTTTTGCACCTATATTCATAAACAATATTGGTCTGTAGTTGTCTTGTGCTATCTCTGGTTTGGGTAGTAATGTGGGCTTAACAAAATGAATTGGGAAATATTCTATATTGGCATTTATTTACACCTTTTTACACTTTTTTAAAAAACATTTTTCATATTTTACACTTTTTAGGCTTTTAACAGTTTTCTCTTCCTTAATAATTCAGGGGACTTAATTTCCTCCGTAGTTTAAAAGCTATAAATTTATTGTTAAAATGCAATGAAAGAAAAAAGTATACAATCCAAAAGCATGGGCTTTTTTCTTTAACTTAGTAAAATAGCTTTAAATTGTTAGAGAAGTACTTAGATCACAGTGGGAAATACTTCCTATAGACGTTATAATGCTTTTATTTAAGTTAGAGTATGTCTTTACAAAAAATGAGGATCATAGAATATAAAACTGCAAAAGTCAAAGGAATCAAAGAATTAATTTGGCTACCTAACATAGTTAGCAAGAAAACAGGCTCAAAGGAATGATGTACTTGCCAACATGATACAACAAATAAAAAACAGAGTTTATCTATTTTACCTCTACTAAGCTTTACATCCCTCCCCTGCCCTCCATCTTTATTGGTAGTGAGATACCCTAGTATGTGTCTTCAATCTTTTCCCTGAAATTTAAAAAATCTTCTGAGGTCTTCCCTGGTGGCACAGTGGTTAAGAGTCCGCCTGCTGATGCAGGGGACACGGGTTCGTGCCCCGGTCCGGGAAGATTCCACATGCCGCGGAGCTGCTGGGCCTGTGAGCCATGGCCGCTGAGCCTGCACGTCCGGAGCCTGTGCTCCGCAACGGGAGAGGCCACAACAGTGAGAGGCCCGCACACCTCAAGAAAAAAAAAAAGAAAAAAAAAGATAAGAAATAAAAAGTGTTGGTAAGGATGTGAAGAAAAGAGAACCCTAGTACACTGTTGATGGAACGTAAATTAGCGCAACCTCCAGCGTGTGGAGGTTCCTCAAAAAATTAAAAATAGAACTACCATATGATACAGCAATTCCACTTATGGGTATTTACCTGAAGAAAACAAAAACACTAATTAGAAAAGATATCTGCACCCCTAT